TACCGTGTCTCAATAAATTGAAAGTTCATCACCTAAATTGCTTGGCCGCCTCACCCTACGCTGAAAACAGCCAAAGCTGAGAAAAGGATGAGAAAACCCCAAGTAGCAGGAACAAAGACAAATCTGAGACGCGGGGACAGCCCGGTGTGCCACAGAGAGAAAGAAATAAAGGAGATCGAGTTATGGAAGACAAACTAGTTGCATTTGCTGCTTCCGTGACCAAACCTCTGACATCCCAGGGTCACCAAGGAGCCTTTACTTCTAAACGTCATCACAATCACTTCACATTCTGGGTTTGGGTTTGGAGGGCCGTGCAGAAGCAGCTGCAGTAGTGCTTAGAGAGGGAGGAATAACAGAGAGAGAGAGAGAGAGGGAGAGAGGGCGGGGAGAGGGAGAGAGAGACCAAAACAAAGCCTCCTACTCAACGTGAATCTGAAAATCAAAACTCCAAATGTTTTAGGAACTCTAATATGGTCTTTCAAAAGTGTTGAAATTAGTATAATGAAGATGTTCAAAACAAACGAAGTTGTAACTATACCAAGTTTTTAAACAACAGGCAGAAATAGAATAAGGAGAGATAATTATAGGGAAAAATCACAAAAAGAGTTTAGAAATTAAAAATATAGTAATTAACGTAAAATGGCAAAAAATAAGAGAGGCATGAACTCGACACTGGACATGGTCAAAGAGCGGATTTGGGGCTGGATGGTGGGCTGGGGGGGCCCCCCCAGGAGGCAACATGGAAAGGATAAAATCTGTAAACTGTAATTACGAACCTTTAAAGATATTCACGCCCAACTAAGAGAAGTTCTAGAAGAAATATCAGAGGAACAGTAATCTGAAGAAATATTTGCTGAGAATTTTCCTGAATTAAAGGCATGAATTCTCAGGTTAAACATAAGCTCCGAGACGAGCAGAACAAATGAAAATAAGTCCACACTACATACACGATTGTGCACCTGAGAACAAGACCACAAGCCAGTCTTAAAAGATACCAGATGCTTCACAAATAAACAACAATTAGGAAATCAGACTTCTCTCTCTGAGCACAGTAGATGCCAGAAGACAGCGAGGTCATACCTGCAAAGTGCCGAGGGGAAATAACTGTCTACCTAGAGATTATATCCAGCTAAACTAGCACCCAAGAGATGGGAGGAAATAAATACATTTTGAGACAAAGACCGAGTTTCCTACTCACAGCCATTTCGGAGAGTGATTTGGAAATAATAAGCAAAACTGAATATGCTCATGACCTCCAAGCCCAGGAATTCTGTTTCTGTTACGTGCCCCAGAGAAGCTCGCTCATATGTGTATAAGGAGATGTGTGAAAATTGTGAATTTCAGCATTGTTCATAATAACAAAAAGTTGGAAGTGACCGGTATGTCATTAGTAAGAGAACTGATGAGCGACGCGTAGGATAGTCATTCAATGAACTATTGCTAGTATAAAGTTTATAAACCAAAGTGTTTTTCGGACTTCAAGTAAAATGCAAAAAAGTTGAGAAAAACTCCATCACGGGGCCAGCTGCAATCACTGAGCACTTCGTTGGTATTTTGGCTTCAATGTTTCTGCCATGGCTTCCTCAGAGTGTGTGTACGGCCTTTCATGGGGCACTCATGGCCACCAGCCCAGCTTCTCGTGGCCCTAAGTGCACCAAGGGGACCCATTCACGTTACCAAGAAACCCACCCCTCAGGATGGAGTATGACCCCCGGGAAGATTGGTGACTTAGCTGGGGAGGGTCGTTGGTTAGATCTGGCCTGTGGTTCTCTAAAACTGTTAACTCGTTGAGCAGAAGTTTTAAATAGTGCAGAAATGCAGACGAGAAAGAATTTGTGTTAAACATACATTAATTGCCCCACGTTTAATGGCCGCTTGCCCCTTCCTTCTTAGCCAGCTCTTCTTTATTATTTCTAGGAGCGTTCCGGTGAGTTCACGGCATCTCGATGTCTTCCTAATGGTCTGTTTTCTTTCAGGACTGGTACGCCAAAACCCCTATGGGTAAAAAGCGCGCCTTGGCCCTCAAGGGGGAGAACTCAGGAAAGGCAAAGGATAAAGGGAAGAAGAAGGGGAAGGAAGGGAAGAAGGAGAAAAAGAAAAAGTAAAGCCTTTGTCAGGAGCCATCCTCGAGCCGGTCTCGGGATGGAGATGGTCCAGGTCTCCATCGCCCGTCTGAAGAAGATGCAGCCTGGTGCCGTGAGCCCCTCAGCCTCCGAATCCTCTGTTAGACCTTCGCTGGGCCGCACACCGAGGTGGTCGTCCCCAGCGACTGCTTCTAGAGCGTGTAATTGTTTCTGACTCTCCGTGAAGTTGGTACACTCTTCACACACTCCGTGATCTTTTCAAGTTGGATACTTCATCTCACTGGTACCAGCTGCCAAATTTGAAATTGGACAGTTAGAAAATACTCCGATTAGACAACTAGTAAGTGACGGAGTCTATCACCAGCGCACTAGCCTTTCGTGAACCCATATCTACTATATATTACCTTGCACACATTTTAATAAATTAATTCTTTGCTCTATTAATGTATTTTATATAATGGAATAAAATGCTGTCGTCCTTGAACTGACTCAGTAATTTGGTTGCTAGAGCTAGGAAAAAAAAAAGACCTTTACAATGAATGACGTCAATCTCAGACTCTGAGGATGGGGAGCTGGGGCGTGGGCCGCACGGCTTGGCACATCGGGGCTCCGACGGGGTTGCCTCTCCATTCCCAGCGCGCTGCTCCTGGGACATTGGCGGGCCCATGGCTGCACGCAAACTGCAACACGAAGACGGAGTAAGTGTGGAGAAGAGAAAGCCTCAATGGAGACGTCAGAAAGGCTTAATACGAAAACAAAGACGAGAGAGGTGAGGGTCAAAGGAGAGAAATTTAAATGTTTTGCGACTGTGGAAGGTTATTTGGGGGGAAGGTAGCAAGTAACCCACTTCTCAACTGCAGTGAGGACACCGTCAGAGGAAGGGACTTAAGCTGGGGCGCACGACTCTGATTGGGGATTTGCGGGTCCCCATCTATCAGCCTTCGGTCGTGCCAGGGAAGGACGCATGGTCGCCCGCTCTGCAGACCACGCTGGATCCCAGGCTTTCCCCGGGAGCCGCAGCAGGTTGGGTGCCCGCGACCACCAGTGGTCCCCAGGGTCACCTGGCCCGGAGCACACGCCCCTCAGCCTGTGTCCGTGCAGGAGACCAACACAGAGGAGGAAAAAGGAGATGGCCGCCGGCCCACACGCTCCGCACGCGGCCCGAGCGCAGCAGGAAGCCGCGCCCCGCAGTCTGTCCGAGTGGCCTGCCGGCAACTGGCCCTCTCAGACCAGAGGACCCCGATTCCCAGAAGGCGGGCCTGGCCTCTCCTTCCCCAGGGCAGCCTGTGTCTGGCCATGAGCAACGCCCCGAGCACAGCGCTCGGCACCAGGCTCTGTCCACACCGCTGGCCATCTGATTACTGCGGCCACCTGCTGCCACCTGCTGCCACCTGCTGCCACCCCGCCCAGCGGAGCACGTGCTGTGGGGGGTCTGCACCCTCACGAGAGGACCCCGCGGCGCTGTGATGAAGGAGGGGGCACGGGTCCAAATTCACAAACCAGCTGAGTGACCTTGGGCCAGTGCAGCCACACACAGACGTACATATATATACACACACTGCGCATATGCATACTACACACACAAACCCACACGACCCACAAACACACCACGCAGACATGTAAACACATACACAGATACACGTGTACACACATTGCACACAGATGGACACAGGTACACAAGCACACGTAATAAGCACTCACATTCACACGCGCACACACAGTCCCCCGGAATCCTGCCGCCCAGGCCTCGCCCGGAGCCACGGGACCAGAGCAGCCGACAGGGGAACAAGCCCGGCAGGTGTCCCCGGGGGCCTGGGCGGCCGCGTCGTGCTTATTGTCTGTACTGAGTGGCCGGCATGCCAGGAAAACATCCGCTCCCCACCCCTCGGGGGGTCGGGGTGGCCCCAGCTGCAGCAGGAAGGGCTGATTCAGACCCCCACGGTCCAGCTGCACGGGTGGGGGCAGGAAGGGCCCCTGGGAGCACCGTGGGTGGTCACCCGGCCGGAAGTGCCCCCGTCAGAAACTGAAACCCGTGCCCCACGCGCAGGCTGGCTCAGAGGAGCCACAGGTGGCTCCCGGCACCACGAGACCACACGTGGGACTTGGGGGAGCGGGGACGCCGAGCACCTGTGATGGGGAGCCCGTCCCATGGCCCCCGTGTGTGGAGACCGGGTGAACCCCACGAGGGTCCTTCAGGTCCGGCTCCTGTGGCCCCAAGGGCAGAGTATCCAGAGATGAGGGGCCTGTGGACCCACAGCCCGCAGCCTGCGACCGTCGCCAGGGTCACTTCTGACAACAGGACTGGCCAGGCTCGCCGTGCCTCCCAAACAACCGAGCTCTGACACATCCTTGAGAAGGCACCCAAAATGCCACAGAGCGGCGTCTGTCACGCGCCACCAAACGTGTGCACGGCGAGTGGCACCAGCGTGCCCGGGGTTTTCCCCCGAGAGCTGCAGGACCCAGGACCCACGGGGAAGGTAAACAGCTGGTGCTCGGAGCCGGCGCGCCCTCCACCGTGGGGTGCTCCACAGTGCAGCTTCCGGGTTGGAGCCCCATCTGACCAGAGGTTGCCTCGTCTTGAAGGACAGGGACAGTATGTGACCTCGACAGCACGGACTGGGCCGCATCAGTGTCCCCCAGGCCCGGGGAGATCGGCTGCCTCTGCGTCCTCAGCAGGTGGCGGGCTCTTTGCACCAGCCGAGCATCTTGCTGGCACTGCTCTGGCGGTCTGTCCGAGGACACGTGCGTATACGTGACAGGGAAGAGAAGCGCCATCGGAAACCGAAGGCCGGGCCACGGCAACGCTCCGCGTGACAACCCGCTGGACAGAAAGTGGCCTCAAATGTGCCTCGAGCTGAAAAGGCACAGAAAAGACACAGAAAAGCAGATGCTGCAGCGTCTCTGCCCTGCGGCCAATTTCATCTCCGATTTCTATGCCAAAACCTTATCTCCACACGTCCCGAGGGAGGTCACGTGGGATCCCGGGTGAGTTTTAGAAAGCGGAAAACAATGAAAAATGTGAGTTTTAAGGAATTGGTCAGTGATGAAAAGGATCGCAGGGACGGGCGCAGCTCACTCAGCGAGGCCAAGGCCCAGCACAAGAGGACGCAGCACATGAACGGCCTGCAGAGCAGCTTCCGGAAGAGACGGGGTAGGAGAGAGGGGGACCCCGTGTTCAGGCTGGAGACACCGCCTGCGTCCCCAGCCAACAGCCACCGTCCCCTGCAGGCTGGGCTTGGCCGCCGGTCACACTCCGAGACCTACGATTGGGTGTCCAGCTGCGAGCTCACCTCAAAGACGAGGCCCAGTGACCCAAAGGGAGCCCCGGCGGCCCCCACCCCACCCCGCTGCCAGCTCACGGTCCGGGTGGTCCTGTTCCCGTCCTCTGCGTCTTGCCTCTGAGCCCAGGACCCCGACACCGCGGAGCTGTGCCCACCTTCTCCTGCCCCGGCGGCCCTCAGGCCTCCAGGACCCCCAGGACCTCCAGGAAAGTGGGAGGCAGAGCAGGGTCACCTCAGGTCTGGTCGGGAGACACGTGACCGGGATGATGTGGACATGGAGGGCGAGGCTCGCCCTTGACAGGGTCGGAAGAGAGGGCCAGCCAGAAGGCTGGGGCTCAAGGCGAGGCGCCACTCCGAGGCCTCTGGTGTGGGACAGGCAGACACCGGTGGCCCCAGACCCCGGGCAGTCCCTGCACCCACGCGAGTTCGCAGAGCCGCCACTTGCAACACCTGTATGCCGGCCGTGGCACAGCACCGGCCACCTCCAGTGCCGTCCACCCGGTGAGACGTGGCACCCTCCAGCCAGGCACCAGCATTTATGGGACTTGGTGGGTGGGAGATCTCATCGTGTGGCCCTCCAGCAGGACGACACCTGAGCGAAGCTGACACCAACCAGGCGCACGGTCTCCCGTGGCGCACACAGGTGGCTGGGCTCCCCGCCGTCACCGGGCACACACGCCATCCCCACTGAGCTGGCGCTCGACTCACAGCCAGAGCGGGGTGGCAGCCTCCCTCCTGCAAGCCAGACTGATTCTGCCCCAGCAACTTTCCCAATTTTCGAGAATTCTTCAACTGACAGGTCAGCTGATGGAGAACACACCTTTATATAAAACGGCCGCAAACTTCAAAGCGTTCTCTACGGTAAATTTAATCACGTCCTCTCCGACGAGCCATCCAAAACACCCTCACTTAGCTTTTGTGTGCGTATTTTTCTCCAGCGCAAAGCCCACGTGCTGTGCAGCTAGTATTTCTCTTCGCGTCGCTGAGAATTTGAGTACTTTGGAACTAGTTGGAGCAAATGATAAGGCGCCTGGCCAGGGCCTTTTTGTTACTCCGTCCTTCTCAGGGGAGCCTGCCCGGCCCCCGCACGGTCGTGGGACCACTGCAGTTCCTTCGAGAACACTCTGCCCCGAGTTGGTCTTGCAAATTATTTCTGCCAGACGCAGAGCGCCTTTTTATTTTCCTCATGGCATCCACTGACTTTGAATCTTGCATAATAGGTACTCGGGGTACACGGGGATTATTGTGCTGCCAGGATGAAATGATGCTGATGGTAATGAGCCGACGGAAAACGGAACGGCCGAGGCTTTGCGTCCGTCCCTGGAGTGTGGTGGCACCTTGTCTGGGGCCGGGGGTCGGGAGGATTTCAGGACTGCCAGGGCTCCGCGTGCACCTGCAGAGCTTGTCCTGGGCCCCCTCCGAACACCAGACTGGGCGGCCTTGGTGACGCCCACCCCTGTCCCTTCACCCGCATGGGGGAGGGGAAGAATGGTCAGGCCTTCAAAGGTCACCTCACGCTCAGATGACCGACACACCACACAGGATGTCTGCTCCCCTGGGCCTGGCTTCCTGGCCAGGCAGTCCACGGGCCAGCACCCCAAGTCCCACCCGGACCCTCGGCTTTGTGAAGGACATAGACCCAGCCCCTCTCCCACCAACACCTGATCAAACTGGGCTCAGCTCCCACTCTTGGGCAACCCCAGAGGGCTCGCCACACCTGCCGAGATCGGCACCCACCCTTCCAATGGCCAAGGACAGAGACCTCTCTCTGCACAGAGCCAGCAAAGACATGTCAGTCACTTGGCTCAAGGCCTCATCCTCGATGAGGATGGAAGCGTCCCTGGTTCCTCGATGAGCGAGTGAGGGAGAGGTGAACCAGCCGGGCACTGCCCCGGGGTCCTGCCGAAGGGGACACAGAAACAACGCTGGAATCACAGTGCCCTCAAGTGGACGTTCGCAGGCACTGCCCTCCGTCGGGGCCAGCTGGAGTGTCGCGCATGCTCGGTCCTGTCCAGGACGCACCAGGAATTCCTTCTTCTAAACATAAAGTTGGCACCATGTCATTTCATGAATAAGTACACTTGTTCATTATTAGAAAATAAGCTATTCACCTCCAGTAAGTGCCGCACAAATAT